CTGATGCCCTCAGTTTCAGCTGTGACATTCTCCAGGTTCTGCACTGGTTCCTAACTCTGATCTCCACACAAAGTGTCAGCAAGGTCTCCTCACAGCTCAGGCACACACAACAATCCTTCTCCAGCCCCACAGCCAAGGACACCGCTGCAGCTCCAGGCCCAAAAAGTGCAACCAGCAGGGAATTGAGGAGAGCAACCTGGGAGGATGGGACTGCATCACCTGCAGCTGGAATTGCACAATTCAGCCCAACTGGAAATGGACCAGAACTGATCCAAGGGTGAAACTCCTGAGCCAGGGCCCATCCTGGCTGCAGCCACGGCCGGGCTCTTGCAGTGCCCAAGGTGCATCCTTGGAAGGGCTTTTAATAAATTCCTGCTTTATTCCTTTAACCCTGCCCAGCCTCTGCTCCAGGAGCCTCCCAAGGCATCACCACCACATGGCACAGCCCTGCTGCTTCCACAGGACAGGGCAGATGGAACCCTGCAGCCAAAGGGCTCAAGGGCTGGATCATCCCAGCTGTTCCACAGTTAAACCCTCAGCCCACGAGGAGGGCAGGCACACCAACAAGGTGATGGACCACACATGGGAAGGCAGCTCAAAGGGTTGCAGGTGACAGCCCAGAGAGCCCACAGAGCTGCAGTGATTGTGGCACTCAGGCAGGTCCTTACAGCCTCCAGAAAAGTCAGGTTCCCATCAGTTCCATGCACTTCCACTGCAGGAAATGAAAGCCTGGAGCAACCTGGTCCTTCAAACTGGTAAAAATCCCACAAAAGCAGGGCACTCATCCTTGTTTCCTTCATCCTCTTGCACAGGGCCTCCCATTACACTTAAAGAGGACTTGTGGCATGGCTGTCATCCAGATATCCATTGTGAACTCCGTGGAAGAGCCTTGACAAGCACAGCATCCATGGTTCTGCTGTACTGAAAGGGAAAACTGGCAGCTGGTGGCAGAACAGGAGCTCTGGGATGCAGCTCCCTCACCTATCAGGTAGCAAAATAAACCAGCCCTTCCTCAGTCCACAGCAGTGCTATAATTCATACCTGACACTTGCAACATCCCTTGGCAGCCCCTGGAAAAGCCATTAGCACCAGAGGGGAGGTGAGGCCACGCTGTCACCTCTCTCCATCCATGTGCAGCAGGTGACTGCCACCAGCTCGCCCAACACGTGAGACTGAAAATGAAACCACTCTCATTTGCTCTCTGCTGCTTTCCAGGTGACATCTTGCACACTTGTGGAGGTGGCACTGTCAGCAGGTCACCATGAATATCTGATTGCCTGGAGGGACATGGATTCACTCTAAAAAAGGGTAATAATGCAAAGACACTCGGTGACATTTTCCCTTGTTCACATGGAGAGAAAACCTTGCAATCTCAGGCTTATTGCACGACACAGAAATGTCATGAATTTGAGAATCTGGAAGCAAGCAAGGGAAAGGAGAAAGAGCAGTATTTTATATTTTGAGCATGGCTCAAGGAGGCCTCATACAGGAGGACTCATTTCCCAGAGCTCAGCTTTAGTACCTCCCCATGAGAAGGTGCCACCCAGCACTGCCAGGCCCTCACCACCTTGCTCCAGGATGGTTCCAGCATATTTAACACATATTTAATAGCTGAAATCCTCTTTGAATTTCCAGTCATTCTTCTGGTTCCAGCTCTCACAGTCCCACCTGCACATCAGCCCTGGCACAGCTGCTGAAGGTACCTGAGACACCCCAAAAAAGCCCTTCCTCTGCAGGGCTCCACTCCTGCAGGGTGTGGAGCTCATCCTCACGGGGTGTGGGATTGCCAAAGCAAAACTGGCAGCCCAGCTTTGGAGAGCAGAAATCAACTGCTGCCAACCTGAGTGAGCACAGGGATCTCATCCAAATAACCAACACCCCTTTTCCTGTCTCAGCTTCAGCACCCCAGGCTGCTCCTCAGGGTCAGACCAGCTCCCCTGAAACCCCTCTGACCTTCTCCCCTGCTTTATTCTTGAGCACATGGAGCTTGCCCCTCTCTTGCAGAGAATTTCCCTGGACCTGTTGATTCCTTGTCCATCAAATTTAAATTTACCTTATCCAGGTTGCAGCCAGGTTGCTCTGTGCCAGCAGCTGCCCATGCTGGTGGAGATAATTTGTTCTAGTAACTCCCATGCTGCTGGCCCTGAATCTCCTTCCAGTTCTGCACAGAAATAAAAAACCCAACATCCTGCATCCCAAACAGACTTTGGTGGGTGATCCACGCACATGAAAGTCCCACAGGGTGGCAGAGATTGGATATCAGCAGCTGGATTCAGGCCTTGGAAAAGATGAAGATGTTTTGTACTCACCTGAGCCATTATTTACAGCCCCAAACACAGCACTTGCTCTCCTGAAAACCTCAAACCACTGCAAATTAAGAGCCAGGTTATTCCAGCTCCCAGCCATGCTGCTGCTCCTCTTCCAGAAGAATTTTACACCCAAAGCTTTGGCAAAACCTGCAGCTGGGCCCATCCATTCTGGGCTGTGCCTGTCAGCCACCACACAGCAGAGCATCCTCACAGGAGGAGCTCACAGAGTCACAGAATTCACCACAAAATTCATAGAATTCACCACAGAATTCACCAGAGTCACAGAATTCACAGAATTCATCACAGAATTCACAGAATCACAAGGTTGTCAGGGACCTTCAAGACCGAGTCCAACCCATGCCCCAACACCCCAACCAAAGCACAGCACTGAGTGCTATATCCAGCCTTTTTGTAAACACATCCAGGGATGTTGAGCCAGTGTCACCCTGACAATCAGGCCCTCAATATTGTTTTTCAGAAATTCTAGCCACTTTCCCAGGAATATAACTATAAAAGTAGGTGTTTATACATTCCATTAAAGATATGCCTTTTGATGGACATCTCTCACAGCCATTGTGGTTGGGAAGGTGTTAACCTCACTATCCAATCCCTGGTCATGGCTGAAAACCTATAAATACTGAAAGAACAAATAAAGGATTATTATTCTTTCCCCACACCTCGAGCTGCGTCCGTGTGAATCATTTTGTGACAGTGACGGGCCAGGGTCTCTCCTCCACATCAAACAGGATCACTGCTCAAGCAGCCTCCCACCAGAAGGGAGCCTGGCAGTCTCCTGGGTCCCTGTTCCCTCATCACAGGGTCCTGACCTCACCAAGATCGAGGGCTCTTCCTTTGCTCACCCCTGAAAAGCAGGAGGAGGCTGCAGATACAGCGCCAGCACTTAGGAGGAAAAACATTACAGCATCTGAAGGTACTTTAAATTATTTAGATACAAACTTGCCTGTAATAAGACATCTATTTTGGTTAATCTCTTCGTTGCAAATCTTGAAACTCTTGAACCTGCCTCAGGCTACTGTCAGCAGCACTTCATTTAAGACTGCTTATTGGGAATAACTGCTATTTCCCACTGTAACCTCCAAACCTCTTAAAGTCTCCCTTATTGCTCTGCCCAAATATACTTGCCTTCAGGATACAGAGGGTTTTTTCTTGCTAAGAACTGTTAAGATGATTTGAACAAGCTGAATCAGAGGAGACTGTTTCTCAGGCAAAGCAGCCAAGACTCCAAACACCATCCCTGCAATATTTTGGGAGTGATTTTTCTTTTTTTTGAGCATTTACTCGGGTTATGAAATGGAACAGCTGAACTTTGATCACTCTTCACAAGCAAAGGAGTGGAAGGGATGGAGGGGTGTGTGTTCATCCTCCAGGACAGTCACCTGGGGATCTCCATCCCTGCCCACTCCTGTGCTGATGTGGGGACCACCAGCAGCTCAGCATGGTCAGAGCTCTCTGAGGAGACTGCTGGGGGTTTCAGCAGCACCACTGCAGCTCTTGTGTCCTAAACCCGACCCCATTTTTATTTCAAGGGGATGCAGAGCTGTGGTGGGCACCTGTGACTCAGCAGGTTTGATTTTAAACACAACCCTGGGCAGCTGGAGCTTGGACACAGTGACCTGATGGGTGTCACAGCTCCAGCCCCAGGAAATCTGGGAATTGCAGCAGTCCCGAGGCCCATCCCTATCCACAGGGAGCAGAATGAAGCCACTGCCTGTGTGGTTGCCAAGCAGCAGCCACAGGAGCCCCAGGCAAGAGCAGCAGAGGTACAAGAGCCCTCCAAGTGTTTTAGATGTGGCACTTAAGTACAATACAGGACATTCCAGGCCTGTGTCTGGGGCAGTCACTCAGAGCCCAGCTCTGCAGACCCCAGTGTACCCTCAGCCACCACCTTCCCTCTGCTCACTGGGAAAAGCTTTGGTCACGAAAGAATTTTGACCCACGTGGAGCAGGAGACAGAAATGGGGGACCAGGACCCCAAAGAAAAGGGACAGGGCTCACAGCAGACACAGGCCTGACTTGGGATCAGTTTCTATTCCCACCAACATGCTTGAGAAAGTACCCAGCATTAAGGGATTACAGCTCTGGGGGCTTAGAGACACTCTCACATCCATCTGCACCAGGTTTCACACAGGGGTCTGGATAGAAACAAAACCCCAAGCCAATATTAAATACGTGTAGATAAGCTGTGATAAATAACAGCCTGTCTGTGCAGGCTAAAGGGCTCTCTCTGCTCTGTACACTCACCCTGGTTTAGTAGGGATGAAACCACCAATGAATCCAGTCCCTGCCAAACCACATCCAGCAGAGCAAGAACCAGCCTGCTGACTGCAGGGCCAAATTAGTGCCACGCTCAGAGCACTCGGCTTTGGCACAGCACAGCCCCTGGAAAGCTGCAGAGGCCAAAACTGGGCCTTTCCAGGCTCAGCTTCCCTGAGCTTGCCCTCAGTCTGAACTCAGGTTACAGATAAATGCCGCACTAGATAGAAAACTATTTTTCCCTTCCCCAGAATATCCCACTTTGCATAATCAAACCCCAATTTATCCCTGCTAGAGGCAAAGCACTTGTGGGGAGCGAGCTCTGGAAAATCTGGGCCATAGCACTCAAAGTTACATTTATAACTAAAGCAGAATAAAACTCCTTGACACTACTCCTCCCCACATTCCAGCTCTCACAGAAGTCACCAGCAGGACAGAACCAGCCCAGGAGCTGTGGGTCACACACATCCTGACTCCAGACAACGCTGCCTCACCCCTGAGCACGAGCAGCTGCTGCTTTTAGGCCCTCTGGAGGGTTTAGGGATGCAGCACCTGCAGCAGCAGCTGATGGCACTCAGTGCTCTCCAATTAAGCTAATTTTGCAGCAGAGGGGAGACATCTGTGTGTGGAGGCTCCAGAGCCAAAAGCTATCAGGGTGTGGAAGGAGCCTCCTGGCTGTAAGGTTTTCCCCCGTTTTAAAGTTAATAAGAAGGGCTTTTCCCACAGTGCTTTGCACCTCCACTTTGTTGTACCCCAGTTTCTGTACCCAGTTGGCCTGTGGGCTGTCCCTCCCCTTTTTACCTTCCCTAGAAAGTTCTCCCTTCCCTGTGTCCCCATTGGCCCCAGTTTGGTGCAATGCTCCGCCCCTGTGATCCCATTGGCTCCCCCTGACCCCGCCTCTGCAGCACTTCACCCTGTTCCCATTGGACCCTGGCCTTGGACCCGCCCCCTCAATCCCACATATAATCCTGGATCCTGCAGTGCTCCCTGTCTTTGTTCCTGGACACCTTTGGGGTGTGGTTGGAATAAACCCCACTGGAACTCTGCACAGAGACCCTTCCTGCCTCTCTGTCAGTGACTGCTGTCCATCGTCTGTCTGTGTGGCTGCAGCCTGCCCAGACGCTGTCTCCTCTGGAGGCACTTTTGGGAAGGTAGCATCTCCTGACCACCTCCACCTTCCCCACAGCTGTGCCTGCTGGCCAGGACAGCCCGTTCCCCTGGTCCTTGTGCTGTGACAAGGACCTGCAGCAGGTACCCGAGGTGCCCCCATGTCCCAGCAGGAGCAGGGAGGCACCTGCTGACTGCAGGGCCAAATTGGTGCCACGCTCAGGGCACTCAGCTTTGGCACACCACAGCCCCTGGAAAGCTGCAGAGGCCAAAACTGGACCTTTCCAGGCTCAGCTTCCCTGAGCTCACCCTCAGTCTGAGCTCCAGTTGTAGATAAATGCTCCACTAGATAGAAAAGCAGAGCACCAGAGTGGCTCTGTGAGCACAGGAGGAGTTTCTGAGCCCCTCTTCACAGCCCAGCCACTCTCCTGTGCTCTGACTCCAGCAGGTCTCACACAGTTCCCACGCTGCACTTACTCCAGCTCTGGCATTGATGGTCCAGCACGCTGGGCTGGCTGGCAGCACCAATGAACCCTGCTTTAAACAGCTTTCTCCTGCAGCAGGAAGCACTGAGAGCGTGGTGTGCTCTGATGAACATCAGAGGTGCCACACTGAGGACAGGTCCAAGCCCAGAGCTTCCAAACCGGTGGGAAATGTCTCAGGTACCACCAGCACAACCCCAAATCTGCCTGCTCCTCCTCCATGAAGTGCTCAGAAAAGGACACATCCAATATCCATGGCCTCTCCTTTCCTCCACAGGGCTCAGACTGGGATTGGTGCCAATGGAAAAAAGCCAGCCCTGGGAGAGGAGGGTGCCAGCAGGACAGGGGGTGTTTTTAGGGCACAGGAGGCACCTCCAAAGTGTCACCCCTCACCCAGAGGTGGGTCCCTCGGAGCTGTGCTAAGCATCCATAAGTCTTTTTAGTGGGACAAGTGGTCATTAGGGGTGCTCCTTCCAAACCCTTTGTGTCTTCTCCCATCGGTCAGCTCTCTCTGCTGGAGATCTTTTCCATCCTGGAGAGTTTCAGAAGTAATTTGCAGACATCTCAGCTTGCCCAGTAATTTTGTTCCTTATTAAATATTGCTAATGACAGGGTTTTAGACTCTTGGTCATATATCCACTTTCTGTTCTAGTATAAATTTTAATCTGTCTTCCCTCTTCCTTCTAGACAAGTCTTTAAAAAAAAAATTACTGGAATAAAAAGGAAAGCACCAAGTAATTGAAAAGAGCTGCTAGAAACAGAAAGGAAGGAAAGTTATAATGATTGAAAAGTTCAATAAAATCGGAGGAAAGCAGGAAAAAATTCCAATTTTTAATGGAATGGATGGTGAGGTGTCACTGGTACATGGCAGCAGATCCCTGGAAGGTGAGCTCTGTTGTCCCACCCCAAAACTATCACCCCATTCCCTTCCCTTGTTTTAACTAGAGCTGCATTTTCTCCTCTCCATTCACCCTCAAGCTAAACCTTTTCATCTGGAGCTTTCAAAGCCTAACCAAGAAAATGTTGAAACCAATAAAACTGTTTGTGGGGGGAAAAGTTTTCTGAAGAAAGCAAGCGCAAATGATGTTTTACCAAAAGCTCCAGGCAGAAAATGGGAGGCTGGAGTTGAAAAGCTCTTGCAGATGAATCTCGAACGATCTATTCTCACCATCATAATGAGCACATACATGATTAATGAAAATATTTATCCTCATAACCCACTGCAGCGAGTTAATATTTAATCCAAAGTCCACGCGAAAGCCCAACCTCTGCGGCTCCTCACCTAGCTTCTTGTTTCCTTGGAAATCTCTGAACTCTGCCAGCTGACCTGAGATTTGGCTCTCTGGGGCTGGCTTTTCCTGGCTTTCTGCATAAGTCCCACACCTTTTGATCCCGAAAGCGCCGCCACTTGGGACCTACAAGGTTTCTCAGATAATCCCGTGGAGCCGCTGCTTTGTGACGCGCCTCACTTTGATATTCAAGGCAAAGCCGGACAGCCCACACATGAAAAGACATCCTTCCCTTTCTTCCCAGGCTTAATTTCATCTGCAAATTAAACATATCGAGACAGATATTTATAGAGGAATGCCCTGATCCTCCTGGGAGGGCTGCGCAGTCTGCGATGTGTAATTTTGCTTTAGGAATATGATTTTAATCTTGACTTTTTTCTGAGGCTGGTGGCAGGAGAGGAGAAGGGCAGGTGGGAGTCTCCTCTGTTCCCCCACAGTTTGAGCCCTGGGCTGATGCAGTGGCTGGATGCACACAGAGGGGTCCAGGCTCTGTCCTTGTCCTCTGCAAAGCTGTTTCAAGACATGGGCCTTTAAAAGGTGACAGTTTTTACTTCTGAAAGAACTGTGCCTGTAAACTTTGCCAGCAGGAGCTTTCAGCTGTGACTTACAAAAAAAACCCAACCCAAACCAAAGCAAGCTGCTTTAAAAATGGTGCACAGCTTGAAATAACTGCTCAGCCCTGATGAGCCCAAGCTCTCACAGAGTCACCCATCCCCCTGTACCCCTCTCCTCCATTCCACCTTTTCACTGTGGGCAACCCCCCGCACTAAAAAAAAAACCCACAAAAAAAGGGGAAGTTTTGGCTTACGTCATTTATAGATATGCCCAAGAGCAGAGGATAAAGAACTTCTATTTTGTTTTCCAGTTAAATATTTTCACTTTATCTTCTTGTTAAGGAGAAATTCAGTGTTAGTCTTTTACCCAGCATCACTCATTTAAGCATCCTCCTGATGGGAAGAGTTCAGGGGAGGGAAACTGGCAGGAAAAATGGTTTCAGTAGTAATAATAAGGGAGACTTCGGAATTTTTTTTTAATTTTTGCATTTCTGCATGCTATGAAGTATGTCTTTAAGCTTCAGTAAACTTTTGGAATCCCTGGGAAGCTGGTAATGTGCCTTTGAAGGAAGTATGACTTATGAAATTGCAGTTTTTAGCTTAGCTGGGTAATGTTAATGAGGAAATATCATGGGCTGCGGGTGGAAGTCTCCTGAATCCCATAAGTTAGGAATAAATTATTCTGTTTTCCTAAATGAATCAGTGCTGTGCAATGCTGCTCCTAAATCAGCCTGATGGTGAGAATTATTTATTAATTTGTGAAGGTCCAAGAGAGAAGCTCAGGCAAATAAATACAAACTAAACTGCGTGAGAGGAGTTACAAACTGCAGCTTGATGTGGGCATGGAAGAAAAGGCTTTGCTGGGGTTGTGAGAAGGAGCAGGAGGGTTGGGACCAGCACTTTGTGTGATGGAGGCAACGTGAGGAGCTGGAGGTGGAGGGACAGATCCTCCTTTCTGCTGGAGTGAAGATGATCAAGCCCCCCCAAGCTTTCAGCTGCAGAGCTTCCCGTCATTAAAGCCGGAGCTGTGCGGCTCTGCCTGTGCCTCGCACATCAAAGGGAGATGTTTCCCACCAGGACAGCTCCCACAGCAGGGAATTCAGGGGTTAATGCACACTCTGGTGTGTGAGTGATGGCCCAGCCAAGGCCCTGAGCAGCAGCTCACACCGAGCAGGTGATGCCACATCCCCCTGCAGCTCCAGGTGCTCCGTGCTGCCCTGGCTTTGGGCACGGCTCATCCCAAGCTCCAGCCCTGCTTTGGGGCTCCCAGCTCCTCTGGGCTCTGCAAATACCACACGGCTCAGCTTCCCCTCCTGCCAGCACCTGGCCTCCTACCCAGAGAGGATTTATTCCTCCCTGAGCAGGTCTCCAATGATGGTATTAATCAGGGAGATGGACGAGTGCAAGCCCGTTTATTGTGCACTGTGGGTGAGTGATAAGTCTGTGCCGGTGCCTGGGATAGCAATCAGGAGAAGGGAGCGAAAGGAAGAGGAGGGAAGAGCAGCATTGTGGGTAAATATGTGCACTTCTGGTGGTGATTACCCTCCAAGTAATTAGTTTTTAAATCAGGCAGACGTTTCGGGAACTACTGGCTATGAGCTGCTTTAATTATTTATACTCCCTTTTATTCTTATTATTTATAGTCCTCCTCTTTGGATGGAGATGCTCTTTGGAACCTGACCCACCTCCAGCCCTCCCTGGCCCAGCAGCTGCTCCTCCAGGGCTGCCAGGCACCCCCAGAGCTCTGCTGTGGGGTCCCCTCTCCCTCCCAGGGCCAGGCAGGGTAAGGAGGGCCCATCCTTGCTGTGGAAAGCCCTGTTCAGATCGGTAATTAAACTCTCACTCATCTTCATTTCCTTCATTTGTTAAAGTGAGGCCACTCAATAAGCCATTAGTGCAAGGTCCTTTCTGTCAGCCAAGGCATCCTTAGGCACATTTCCCTTGGAGACAGCTGGGGAGGGTGTGGGCAGGGGGAGCAGCTCCTTGCCCACCCCCTCCTCTGCCCAAACCCTCCCCATCCAGCCCCTCCCAGGTCACTCCTGCCCTTTGGCCAAGGCTCTGGGGAGCAAGAGGGAATTTTGCAATGGCCAACCCTTCCCCCAGCTGGGATTTTTCCCACAGCACCACACAAGCCCCTGTTCCATCACAGCATCTGCTGTTGTTGCTCTCCCTTCGCCAACTCCACCTCTCTGGAGCTTCCTAACATCTGGATGCCATTCCCTGCACCATTCCCATGAAGGGACCTCCGACCCCTTGAGCTCCTCCTCTGGGCTGAACAAAAGCTGCCCTTACTGCTGAGCTGGGGAATTTTACCTGCTTTCCCCTCTCTCCATCCACAAACCATTTCTCAATGTGTCACCAGGACAGCATCTGCCTGGGAAGCCCTGGAGCATCCTCTGTCCCATCTGCCTCACATGCTCAGACACCAGCAATGAGGAAAACTCAGAAAAACCCCCAAAATCCCAGCACAAGAAAAACCCCACAGCATGGGGGAAGCTGCTGTAGGTTCCTCCAGGAGCAAGGCCATGGCCTGTTTGTAGCTACTACAACTACACCTTGATTTTCCCTGCTCCCTCCCTAGGAGCTTTTGTTCTGGATCTTGCTCTGGTTACAACAGTGAGAACACCTTGACTTTGCTGCTTCTCACCCAGGAATCATTTGTGAGCTCTGGGGGTGAGGGGGATTGGGGCTAAAGCAACCACAGAACTGCTGAGCAGCTCAACAAATGGAAGGGTTTTGATGGGTTTGACACTGGGCAAAGGGGGGCCCATCACTGCACACCTCACTGGCTGCCACGTGAGATGAGACAATTCACTGAATTCACCAAAACCCAGCAGAAAAGAGTTGAAATGTTCATAAGCCTGTCCTGTGCTCTAGAGTGCCACAGGAATCTGACCTGAGTGCTGTTCTGCTGGGTTTGTCTTCGTGCACAGAATCCCAGAGGGGCTGGGGCTGGAGAGGAGCTGTGGAAGTCACTTCTCCAGCCCCAGGTAAGCAGGGTCACTTAGAGCTGGTCACCCAGGAGTGTCCAGGTGGATTCCCAGTTACCTGCTTGGGGGGAAGAATGCAATGAACACGTCAGACAGATGACACCACCAGAGGGGAGTGTCAGAGCTCTAACACCAGGGAATAATGTGCTTTTCAGGATGGCCAATCTTCCAAGGGAAGCCAGCTCCCAAGGGCATCCCCAGGCCAACCCTGCATTCACGTAGGATTTTGAGGAGCATCTGCCCATGGAGCCACAGCCACATTGGTGTGAAAGACAAGCTCCTGCCTGCCCTTGAACCAGGGGCAAACCACTTCTTAAAAAAACCAGGAAGCACAGTGGGAACAGCTTCACCATGGAAGCAGAGGGGCAGGATCCACCTGCCCCCCTCAGGATCAGGCTGGCTCCATCCCAAAAACGCTCAGCAGGCTCAGCTCCAGCATTTTGTAGGGTACCTGGGGCAGGGATCCGAGGTGGGATGAGGAATTATCTTTCACCCTAAACAGGGCACTTCTGGGGCTGGACTCTCCCATGACTCCCAGCCCTACAGAGTCCCTGCAGCAATGATTACCCCACAGCTGGGAACAGACATTTCCAAACAAGCCTCCTTCTATTTGCATTCAAAACATTTATTTTGGGAAATACATATTAAACACTATTATTTATACAAAAATGGACTAAATTTTCATAATGCTTATAACCCCCAAAAGGCCATTTTAATAGATCTGGATGAAGGGTCTTTTTATTGTATTATTTTCTTTTTTTTTTTCCTTCAAAAAAAAAAAAAAAGTCAGGTTACAAAGGAGAAAGCGGCGTGTCTTGCTTGGCTCAGCTTGAGATACCAACTAGAGGAAAAAAAAAAGTTTAAGATGGCATTTGCAGAAGTGCCTCACACAAGAGATTTTTTTCTCCCCTTTTAGTCTTTTTTTAACACTTGAAATATATAATTTTTTTTAGTTTACACGATTTTTGTTGGTTTTTGCTAAAATATAGCAAGTCAGCAAGTAGAGAGCTGCTGTTCCCTGAACAGCTCTGTGGGGCTGCTGTGGAGGGGGAATATGAATAAAGGGGAGAAGGGATTCTCACAATGCACCCCCCTGTCCACACCCCTTTGGCTGCTGGGGGATGTGTGGGGAGCCCCTGAACACCTGGGCATCCCCAGCAAGGGGAGAGCAAATCCTTCCTCCTGCTGGTCACCTGTGCTGAGCCAGGCTCTGTCCCCCAGGGCTCTGCAGGTGCCTTCCAGTGCTAGAGGATGAGACACGCTGCCACTTCAGTGTGTGCCCCCAAAAATGGGTGATTTGCAGGAAGTTTTTTCCCTTAGAGAGGATTGGGAGCCTGGTGGACACCAGAAAGGCAAAGGGAACTGGGGAGAGGGGCAGGACTGCAGAGCTCTGCTCCAGGATCCCCTGCTCCTGTGTCACAGTGCTACCTAACGCTTGCAGGGTCTGATTTACTGGAGACACACGGAAAGAGGAGGCTCTGGGGGCAGAGCAGGGGGAGCAACACCCACAGACACCCCCCCACAGCTGCAGGGCTCGGTCAGCACATGCACAGAGCCCTGCACAAGGACCAGCAAAACAGGAGCATCTCCCCTGGACACACAGCACACAGGGGACCCAGGAAATAAAAAGGAATTAACAGATACCCAAGAGCCCCCTCTGATGCAGGGAAAAGCCCAAGAATCACAAGGGTCAGACAGGAGAACCCTCTGCCTCCCACCACTGCTTTGCAGAGACGAAGTTCCACACTCAGCCCTTTCAGCACTCCGAGCCTTCAGCAGACAACTGAACGCCACCACCCGACTGAATGACAAATAAATACACAAGTGTTCCCAGGACATCAGCCACAGCTCTGGCCCAAGGGAGACGGAACCAGAGTCTCTGTGAAGGTTCACAGCCTTTTTACAGGCTGCAAAGACAGACATGGCAGACCCTCCCTCCCCTCTCCCACGCTATTGCAAGGTCACAGTCTGAAAAGGCACTTCTCCCAAAGCAGGTCGCTCTGCCTGGCCGGGGGTCGGTGACAGGTGAGGTGACACCTAAACACTCCCAGTTTATTGCATGTAGACAGGGTACAGGGGCTGGGTTGGGGGCTGGCAGGCCCCAGAGGGCTGCAGAGGGCTCGGAGGAGGCGGCAGGAGACAAGGGTGGCACTGCCTTGCTCTCTTCATCCCACCGTACCTTGCTTCCGAAGGCTACATTCACCTGGAAGAACCCTCAGTTCAATGGACGGAGAAGAGCCCCTGCATGGAGGGGCTGGAAGGGCTCCCAGAGCACCCCAACCCTGCTGGCCCCACAGATCTGCTCCCCTGGCTTCGGCTGTGGGGCCAGAGCTGGGGGCAAGCCAGAGCCCAGCCTCCACAGAGGGACAGTCCCCGGCCCAGGGACGCTGCTCTGGGGGCTGAGCACAAAACTCGTGGCACAAAGCAGGGGGAGAGCGGCCACCCCACTCCACGTCTGGTTATTTGGTCAGTTAACATGGCAGGGGGTCAGGGACCAGGGCAAGAGGGACAGTGGCAGAGGATTTATATAAAAATAAAGGGGGGAGAGGGGAGAGATAGCGAGCGTGAGCGAGCGAGGTCCTGGCTGCGGCACGGGACGGTTACATTTCGTTGGCCACCAGCTCTTTGTCGGCCACGCCGTTGGACAGAGAGCTCTGGCCCTCGTTCAGCCTCTTCACCCTGTAGGCTTCGAAGTGGATGTTGCTGGTAATATCCTTGATGTTCTGCATGTGTGTCCTGCAGGGAAGGGAGATGGAGCAATCACACCTTGCTGGGCACAGCTCGGCCAGCCCGGCCTCTGCACCCCAAACACTCCCCAGTCCCGATGTCCCCTCCTGCCTTGCTGTTAACGGAGCCTTGAGGGCACAGGAAGGAGGTAAAGGCAATAATGGGCAGCATTTTTGGGCAGCAGAAGGCTTCACCTGGGCTTGGGGACACAGGACCTGTGGCTGCAGAACACCCACCCAGAGAGATCCCGACCCTGCCAGTCCTGGGCTGAGGTTCTGTAGCCCCACACAACTCTGCCAGCAGCAGATCACATGTGCAGAGCTTACCTTGCAGGCAAACTGGGGAGAAGCCCAATGCCCCTCTCTAGCAAGCCCAGGGGGCTCAGCCTCCCTCTCCCCCACAGCAGGGACACTTCTTTCAAGAGGGACCAGCCACCAGCCAGACCTCACAACCACACCCCAGTGGGGGGTGATGTCACTGAACTGGGGCTGAATCTGGCACTGGTGAGGGACCACTAAGGCCAAAAGCTGCTGGCAGGCAAGCTGGAGCCACCCTGCCAGCAATCCTGGAGTGTGTCCTGACCCCTCCACTGCTCCTCTCCCCCTTGAACTCAGCACTGCAGCTGAGAAAAGCCCCTGAGGAGTGGGGCCACCCCTTGCAGAGGGGCTGCAGCTGGGAGGGAAGGCAGGGATAGAGGCTGGAGGGATGGAGCAGCAGAGCAAAGCAGCAGCTGCCTCCTGCTGTGTTGGGCTGTCCCCTTTCCCTGGATGCCACCTGGTGACCAAAGGCTCTGGGGACAGGGCACTGACCTGATGAGGAGGTCCCGCAGGTAGGCAAACTCACAGTGTGTCGTGTTCTCCACTGGCAAGAGAGACAGAAACCCATCAGTGAGCACCCGTGGCCAGCACCCCGGGCAAGCAGCATCTGGGGGCTTCCCCAGCATGTGGAGGGCTCAGATGGGCACTGACACCCCAGGGGACAAGTGCAGGACTCAGGAGTCCTCTTTGCTGCTGTAAAGCTGGCACCAGGTCCTCGCCCCAGCTCAGCCCTGGTGAGGTCTGACTGAGCACCCACAGCCCCTCACCCGTGTCCCACCAACAAGGGAGCTCTCAGCAGCACCCCCAGCACAATGCTGGGACCCCCAGAACCCCAAACAAGACAGGGGAAGGGCCATGCTGAGCTTTGCAGTGAGCAGCAGAAGTTTCATCTGTGGCTTGGCCATGAGCACCCTGCAGCATCCCAGGCTCACTGGTGACAGCTGTGCAAGGACATGAACTCCTGAGTCAAAGGCTGCTGCTGGCAGGAGGAGTGCCTGCAATAGGGAAAAATCAAGGGGCGCTGCTCCACCACAGACAGTCTGATAGCTGCTATTTTACCCCTAGATTTACTCAATTTAGAGAAAGAATTCCTTCTTAATTTTTTTTTCTTTTTCCCAAACAATCCTGTACACAGAACAGCAGAATCCTTTATGTTGGAGAAGACCTCTAAGATCATCGAGTGCAACCATTAAATATCACACAGGAATGGCAAAACAAAAACAACTGTGCTGTGCAAAGGCTGCCTGTGGCCATGGCTGTGTCCTGGGGGTCTGCCTGTGCTGAAGGCCCAAGTAGAAGATGAGGGTTTAATGAATCCCATCGAACTCAGAATGTTCAGGGACACAGCACAAGAGGGCAGCAGAGCTTCAAAATACAGATTTTCCTGGCAGCTTTGTTAAACCATCCCTCAACACAGGATTCCTATTAAAAAGACTTGTAAATGACAGGAAGCCGTGAAGTGAAGGGGAGGAAGATGAGAGGGGTGGCACTGGAGATGAGCCAGCTGGCTGCCAGAAACCATGAACAGGGAAATGAGTAGATGTGCTGGAGCCAGGAGCTTTCATCTAGCCTTGAAACCATGATCGTAAAATGGGGGAGAAAAAAGGGAGATGCCAATGGGAAATGGAAGAGATCCCCCAAGGCATGGTGGAGGGTACAGATGCCAGGGGAAGGTTCTAACAGGGGCTTGGGGACACGGGGATGGCACTGGTGTGCCCTCAAATCCTGCCATCAGGCAATGAACTGTGCAAGAAGCACAAGCCAGGCCATGAGACCCCCTGAAATGTCCCCTGCAGCACTCAGCAGCCCCCCAAGATACAAAAAGGCCCAGGAGCCCAGCATAGGAGAACTGGCCAAGGTGTTTCCAGTCCTCAAGCTTTTTTGGAGGGGCAGGGAAGCACCACATCCACCTCAACTCCTGCTGCTGGGTTTGGACTTTATTGCCTTCTGCCAGGGAGGTGGGCTCAGGTGGGGAAGCAAGGATAAGGTACCTTCAATGGTGCCCCACTTGGTCTTCCTGCCAAGGATTCTTCTTCCATTCACCTGGTACTCCTGGTCACTGCCCACCACTGCAAATGGGATCATTTCCTATGGAAAGAGAAAAACAAGGCTGTGATTTCTTCCTGAGAACTGCTCAGGAAATCAAACCAGTGAGCAAATTCCTACATCAAGCTGCTTCCAGGAGGATTCATGGGATGAGTTGGTTTTCCCTGATGCTCCTGAGCAGTGCTGTCTGCCAGGGCCCACAGGACTGGGTACCAGCAGCTCTTGCACATGTGCCCAGCCTAAAGCCAGCCCAAACCCAGCCTACTCCAGTCCCTCTTTGGCAGGCACCATCTACAGCTGGAGCAAAGGTATCCCAAAGCTTTCCTGGGAATTGCCCCCAGCAACTGACAACCTGTGGGCAACTCATTTCCTGATCCAAGCTGGTGTCTTTGAACTTCAGAGTCACTAAAATATTTTTCTTCCTCCAATTTGTCCATTCCACTTTACTGTGCCAAAAAATACCGTCTGATTCCTGTAGCATGGAATTGCAGGCAGCCTACAGATAAAATTCCCTCACAGGGCTGGGAAGGCTGCTGCCCTAGCCAGGGATGGGCAGGCACCTCTGTCCCCTGAGCCTGGGGCAGGGGCAGGAGCCATGGACCCTCTGCTGAGGACACCTGGCAGGGGTGGAGATGGGGAAGGAGTAGGGACAGGCCATCTTCCCCACAAGCCTTTCTCACCCTCCTTCCCCCCCTGCCCTGAGCTCTGGCAGGATCCCGTGGACAGGGCACAGCAGCTTGGGGAAGAAAACAGAGGCTTTATGGAAGGGAACCCCCAGGACATCCCCAGCCCCTGGAGCTGCAGGGCCACAGCCCCTGCACTTACCCGGAATTTCTCATTCACCAGCCGATCTTCAGAGTCCTCGTCAAACTCCTTCTGGGGATACACGTCGATCCCGTTGGCCAGGAGATCAGCCGTTATCTAGGAGGGAAGAGCAGAGGGACAGGTGAAGGACAGGCAGGCACAGGAGCTGCACTGCACTGCAGCTGCTCCCAAAAGGCTGAGTGATGGCCACCAGTCACAGCCACATCCAGCAGCAGCTTCCTCCCTCTCTATCCTGAACACTGCCCACCTGGGGCACAGAGACCTGGGCTCACCTGCCACACACCCACCAAGAGCTTGCCCTGGAACCTCTGCAAGAACCTGGTGCCAAGACACAGCTCAGGCAGAGAGTGAGATGAAGCAACACGAGCTGGATGCTGTTTAGGGATTGGAAAAGACAACAAGACAACCCAAGCTGCCCAAACAAAGGGGAACGCAGCTGCCAGGCTTGTAACACAAAGGTGAAAAGCTGCTCTCTGGTGTTTGTTTACACTCTTTGCAAAAGGAACTTGATCTGAGGGGACAAGGACACAGCATGGGAGGACTTTGCCTCTGTGCAACACCAAGAGATGCTGAAATCTGATTCCTGGCTAGAGGCTCAGCTCACAGGGAGCTTGAAGGATCAACCTTCTCCTAAACTCTGTAAACCCCAACCCAGGCTGGCAGCAGCTCCCACCACTTCCTATGGCAGTAACTCCAGTCCTACAGTGCAGGCTGGCAAAGGAGTGGATCCAGCCCAGGGGATGCCCCCAGCCAGCCTCCCACCCCCCACCAAACCCATACACTGAGCTTAGGGGAACAACCCAACAAAGCCAACTCCAGGGAGCAATTGCACTCAATCAGCACAGCACTGGCACTGCAGCCAGGCTGGTGCTCCACATCCCCTGCCCACCCCATCCAAACCCAAAACCTACCACCCCCATATGCAGACAGCTCTGCTTTTGGAAGCACACACACAGGCACACTGGCATGAGTGCAAAAGGTCACAGCCTGTGCCCACCTGGCCTGATTTCCTGCCCTCTCATCTGCTGGAAGCAAACACACCATGTGTTTCTCCCTCCATCTGGAAGGATTTGGGAGGTCTGGTTATAATCAGGAAGCAATCAGAGATAGGGTGAGCTCGTCCTGTGCTGGGCCAGTGCAGAGCAGGGGAGCCAGGCACTGTCCCCATGCTCTTCCATGGTATCAGCAGCCAAGGGTGCCCAGGTGACATTTGAGGTCCCAGACTGACTTGGTAGTGCCAGAGCCAGCCAGACACAGGGATGTGTGCACTGGTAACCTCTGAATGGAGGCAGCAGCCTGCAAAAGCCACCACAGAGAGCAGATGTGGCACCATGGACTCACCCCTCCGTGTCCCCTCCCCAGCTCCCTGCAGAGCTCCGTGCAAACAGCCTGACAAGGCAAGCCAGCCCAGCCACCCCTCAGCTCCATTCCCAGCCAGCCTCCAGCCAAGGAAATTGCTTGGAGAGTTTGGATTCAGCCCCCAAAACCAGACTGGGTATTTCAGTGCCTGATGCTGCTTGTTAAGAGCTGGGAAGGAGAGGCTCCCACACTGGTGTGGGAACGAGCAGCTCACCCTCTGCTGCAAGGCAGAATGGAACCACCCCTGCCTAAGCTGTCATCCTGTCCATAACCAAAGGAGCGGCCCCTAAAACTGCCCTTTTGGCAGGACTCTCTTTCCCTTTACTTCTCCCAGGTCAGACTCATGGATCAAGGAGCTCGGTGGTTTTTACTTCTGCAGGGAATGCTGAGGCCATCACACCTGCAGCCCCATCCATCACCCACACAAACAGATTTACAGTCCATTACCAAACCCCCAAACGGGCCACCTCCACCTCTCAGAGCAAAGCCTTGCTGTGAATGCAGCCCCTCCTCAGCTCCCAACCACGGGAATTTCATACCTTGCTTCCCTCTTAAATCTTGCCCAGCTGAGCTCAGCAAACCCACACCTTTTTGACTGGTTCCTGTATCAGTGCACAATGCTGCACAGGGAGGGTTTTCCAGCCCCTACATGCATCAACCTCCCAAAATAACAGAAACCAGCCTGAAAATAACAACAACAATAACAGAGGCAGGAGAAGCAGGCCTGGAGACGTAGAGCTCCAAACTTATCCTGCTCTGACAAAGATCCAAGAGAAACACGAGGAAGTGCTTGGAGAGCAGGCCTGCCCTGCGGCCACGCGGGATCGCTCCGAGCTGCGGCCGGAGGAATGCGCTGGGCTCCCGGCCAGGCACTGCCTGCACAGCCCTGCCAGGACAGCCACGAGGGGAGCAGGGCCAGCAGGGCTGGGGGACCACGGCTGGGAGCCTGGGGAGGAGGCAGCAGCCCCTTACCCGCTGTTTGAAGTAGTCCCTCTCCTCCAGCGTTAGCGTGTCGGCTTTGGCGATCACAGGGACGATGTTGACCACTTTGCTCAGGCGCTTCATGAACTCGATGTCCAACGGCCGGAGCCTGGAAAACAGCAGGAAAAAGGGGATTTGCACTCCAAGGCTGCTGCAGTCCCCTGGCAGGGAGGGGCATCCCAAGAGCAGACAGAGAGGGAACGCTTCCTTTCAGATAGGACAAGTAAAGATGTTCTCTTAAAAGCACAACAGCAGCAGAGAGGGTTTGAAAACACTTTTAAACATTTCCCTTTCAAAGCTGCCATTATCGTCTGTGAAGCCTCACAAAGCCCCGTGAAGTGACAGAGGACTTTTATCTCTGCATGGCCACAGAGGACTGCAGGAACTTGCCCAGAGCTACTGGTGTCCTTGGTGGTGCTGGGATGAGAGCAGGGCGATGCTGGCTGCAGGGCCAGCCTGCTGCCATGTACAAATCAAAACCTGCTCCAGCTCTATCCCAGCTGTCACCGACCATCCAGGGACAGCACAACGTGGAAATGGCCACAGGTGACCGTCCCTGCTCACACTCACACTGTGCTGAGCACCAGTTCACTGCACAAACCGGGAGTGCCTCTCACATTCATCAGCTGGGATTAAAAAAAGCTCTGGAAATTCTCCAGGGGCTCACAGAGCACAGAAGAGATGCTGCTCGTTCCAGAGGGCGAGAATGTCAGAAAATCTCTACAACAGAAGTCTCAGCAGAGGAGAGCTGCAGAGATTGCATAACCCCAGTGATCAGCGCCTCGGGAAATCCCTCCCTGCTGACAGCAGGGACACGGCTCCACTTCCACACTGCCCCATGTACAAGGCCTGCAGACAGCGATGAAGGCACCTGGCCATGATCCTTCCCGACTCCTCAGCCCTCCCTGAAGGTGTTTTAACTGCTGGGGGTCCCAAACCAGGAGAAAACCCTCCCTGGGACTCCTCCAGTTGCTGCAGGTCCCCCTCGGTGGCTGTGAAGGTGATGGGGACATGCAGCACAGTTGAGCAGTTGAGCCTTGAAAAGGAAACCTGGAGGTCCCAGGGTCCAGGATCACCTCTGGGGCAGGAGCCTGTTTGAAATGAGCCCTCATTGAGGGCCAAGAGAGCACCCACTGCCAACACACTCAAACCAAACCCCACCAGGGTCTCCTTTGGCCCTCAAAGGGCTTAGAGAGCCCTGCAGACCCAGGCACAGGAGTGCAGAGGGGAAGGGAC